TTATTATTTATTTATTTATTTTATTTATTTATGTATTTTTTTGGCTTGTTAGTTTGATTACTGTTGATTTCAAATTCAATAAATAAGTTTGTAGAAAACAATTGGTGGGTGCGACTAAATTTTGGCTGATGCGCCTACATTTTTTAAGTTAGGAGCACCGGTGCTACCAAGCAAAAAAATTTATTTCGAGCTCTTTTATAATAGTATATAGTAGTTTTTTCAGTGTTTTCTGTTCATTTATTTTGGATGGTGAAAACAATTCCCCTACGAGAGTGATTATAGCGCCTCCCGATGGTGAATGCGGTTATACTCACGGCAGGTGTTATTTGATAATTCGGTCGTTTATTTCACTGATTTGGCAACCGTCAAACGTCAAACGTCATCGGGGAAACGGTTTGAATTTCCGCTTAGTAAAAAAACCTTAGAGTGCCATTTGGGACGACACTACATACATATACTATCCTGTTGAGTATGTAAGTGCATAAGTACATAGTGTATGAGTGCATAGTGTAAAGTGTGCCATTTGGGATGCAGCTAGACTCTTCCATAACCCTCACTGCACACCATCAATATGTAGCATGCACTTCACTTTAACCAATCCATACTTAAAACAATACTGCCTACAGCTATGGGTACACCTATTCATTGTACATTTTGCTGTCAACACTGCCAATTTTACATTGTCCTGTTTTTTGGGAGTATGCTGTTGTATTTTGCACTGCCTGTATTTTGTCTGAAGCCAGCACCTAAGCTTTTCACTCATCATAGCACACGTGCTGCTGATGATGTGACAATAAAAGTGATTTGATTTGACTTTGTCGCTAGATTTAACAAACTTTTCAGACCCCCAAGCGACATTTTTTTTAAAAAGCAACTAGCGTCTTTTTTGTGCGTTACTGGAGATTTTTTATAGACTGTCATTTGACCACACTATACTGTCCCTACTCTTCTCAACAAGCTCCAGGTTATGCCCTCTGCCCCTCCCCCACCTCAGAGCACTGACAGGCGGCCCAGTTCTCGTACAGCATTCTCCCCTATCTGCAGCCCGAGAGCAGATCACCCCTCTGCATTTCGACGGCAAATGATTTAGCACTGGCAGTGTGAAGGTATTTCCCTTGTACACTCAAACCAATCCGCTTCTTCTTTATTTTACCAATTTAATTCGTCTATTTATTTTTTTCTTGTTCACAATAACAGATATTTTAGTGACAGTTTCGGAACTTGCCTGAGTTTATAACATATGAGAGATTACTGCAAATTAACTACACATCTATATTAAAACAATGTATTCAAATAGCAAAATTTTTTTAAAATTTAGTAGTTAAATTCACATGCTTGCATAAAGCGTTAAACAAACAGAAATGGTAAAACATGATGATGTCAGTAACATGCAAATTGACGTATGACGCAATCTAGCAACTTTTCAGGAAGAGCTTGGCACCTTTACGTAAAAAAGGGTTGGCAACAGTGGATTACAATCCAATTAAAGACATATGGGGAACTCTGAAGAGACAACAAGTTGAGCATCTCTCAGAGAAACTCCAAAAAAGAAGGGTCATTTTTGAAGAATGAAAAAGATACATGTTGCAAAATGAAGTCAACTTGTTCATTTCATGCCTATAGAAGTCTTGGTGCTGTCATTAAAAATGCAAAGTAGATAAAGTAGATTTTGATGTGGGGTATACTCATTTTTGCATCACCATAATTTAAGTAAGACTTTAAAAAAATTGTAATTTAGGTTATTTTGTTAACCTTACTTTCATGTTTAAGTTAAACAGATATTATATTAAACTTAGTCTTGTCAACATTTTTGAAATTTTCTTTGAAAATATTGGACATTGTTTAAAATGTTACTTTTCAATGGGGGTGTATGAATATATAATATTTCAACTCATATTTAACTCTGTAATTTAATTCATTCTGTCAGTTATCCATGCTGTTGTTCTATCCGCTTCTTAAGTCATGACGTATCAGTGACGTATGGAATACTGTTTCCGGGTACAAGCCGCTACTCATTTAAATAGAGAAAATATATGTTTATGGCCACTTATTAGTCATATCACACAGTAAAGTGAATTTTCTATAAAATCGAGCTGTACACATCAGTCTCTGGGTTTGCTGCATCATAAA